GAGGGTTCTATTATTAAATTTAAAACCTGGCTATATAAGATGAAGGCAGCTTTAACGAGATGAAAAGGCTTAACTGAAGTCCAATTAAATTCCGTATTACCTGTTTACGCAGCCTGCTTAAGTCCTGACCCGCACGCTGGTTTCTTCCTTGGTCTCCAAAGCCTGTGCTCTAGGCAAAAAATAAAATCAAAGGAAGACAGAGAGATACCAGATCACCAGCATGTCCTGAGCATCCCCACGTGCTCCTACCAGAGGCAGCTGCCCTCAAGTCTTGTGCTGCTCCCACAGTGGCTGTGAGGTGTGAGATGCAGCCAAAATCCTCCAGCTAGGGCAAAACCAGCTGGAGCCCAAAGAGCAAATCTCCGGCCAACCTTAGTTTGGTTTTAGGTCTGTGCTGTGCAGAGACTTTTGCTCTCCCCATCTCTCTGGGTTGGTGGTGGCGGGGGCTGGCCGAGCGGGCAGTGCCGCTAGTGCTTCCCATGCACGGAGCATCCTGCTGCCTGCCACTACTTGCACCACTGTTGGCCAGTTATTTCTTTTTGAAAGTACGTATTTGGTGAAAGCCAGATGTGGTGTGTGGCGGGGACAGATCAGCTTCCCCTGGTGGGATCCTGATTTTCACAGTTAATAGAAACCATCACTTGGTGTTGTTGAAGCGTGGCCGGTTTGGGTGGGTGGTGAGCTGGGGCTCCACTGGTGCCTTGCCACCCCACAGGGTATCACCTCACCCTGGCACTAGGAGTTTTGCAGGGTGGGTGCAGCACTTTAGCCCATCTTTCACGTGTTCTGCAAGGTTCAGCAATAGGGATGAGGAGGAAGAATTCTATTGCAGCATCCTGAGGGCATCCAGAAAGCTCCTCAGTTTGCCAAACCTTCCCTTGTTGGGTGCTGCTTTTTATTACGAGGGATCCCTGGGGTCAGCAAAATGCTGGCGGTAATTTCAGGCCACCTGCTCTGTGCTGGCTGCTCTGGCTTTTGAATTTGGCCCCCAAACCCTCTCAGTACCTCACAGCTCCTCTCGGGTCGAGCATGCTGCAGGGCAGGGGGCAGGAAATGGCTCACCGCACCCTGCACGCTGCAAACCCTCACGCCCAGCAAAGACCTAAACCCTGCGTTAAAGCAAGTAAATAAATAAAAGCACTGGTCTGCAGCTCCTCCCAGGGCTGTGGGATGAGGCGAGGTGACTAGTGTTCCCAGCACAACCAGCCTGGGAAAGCAAATTTGGGTGACACTGAAATGCTGGGGGGGACGCTTGGGCTTTGCTGGGGGCTGGGGAGCTGCTCAGTGCAACCACACCAGTGCGTCTTTCCTGCTGCTCTTCAGCACAATTAATACAGTGGAATAACCTGGTTTCTTCCTAAGGATTAGGTTAAGAAAACAAGATGGTTTTAATAGCCCTTTTACATCCTGAATAGATTGTAGCTGAAAAACCTAACCAGCTTAGCAGTGCGGCCAAACACCACATATTCCC